GGACGAATAACCAGAACTTTCCACCAGAGTGTACAGCTGGTGAATTTAAAAAAGAAGAAAAAGACCAACTGGTATAATGGAATAAAAGGAAATCTTATTGTTAACTATGAATCCCAATTATGATTCTGTGGAACGTTACTTTGTGATGATACTTGGTAGTGTAATGATACAATGAGACCAGACTTCTTTGTTTTAATTTGCAGTGAGCTAAGGCAATTACTAGACGGTGACTATATTACAAGGAGTCTTTAGTAACTGAAAATTTAATATGAGCGGGTCAGGACTGCAGCAAAAGTACAAATTGGTTATGCCCCAGGTGGTTGTTCCATACCTTTAATAAACTAAACATTTAAAAAATAGATCTTTAAGGTAGTTTCACTCTTAGCAAACAAACATTGAAGAAGTGAATGAATGCACCAGGCAACTTCACCAAATTTAAACACCGTAAACAAAAGGAATTCATAACTATATTCAACTGCCGCATCGATGAAAATAAATAAAACTGTGTGCACTCGAAGACACAGTAATCTCATTCGTTCAAGGGTTGTTTGAAGACATTTTTTTTTATATTAAATTCTCTGGACGATGTTAGCTCTGTTACTTCTTCACCCCCGCCAATCTGTGTTCCTGTGTGCCTTTATCGGTCATCAATCACAATTTATGTGCACCTGTAGCGGCATGTTGTGATTGATGACTCCTTCATTTGTCACTTTACGTTGCAGGGACAGGACGATTGTGTCTTTTGTGGCGGTCTGTCTTCTTGTTGATTCCATACCTTTTCTTTCCGGGTTTTTTTTTTTTTTTTTTAGCCAGAACTTTAGGTTTACAACGTATGGAAACTTTATTTGTAAACTAAGAGGTGAAAGACTTATTGGTTCATTTCCGTTAAGTCACCTCATCTAGGGAAATGTAGGCAAATCCCATAGTATACAGATGTTAGGTGGGGTTAGTAGTAGTCGTTATGCATTTAACACTAGCCCAACTCTTCCCCTTATACTATGGGATCTTACTACATCTCTCACGATGTGGTGACTTAACAGAAAAGAACTGGCCCCTTTAACGCATGTTGGCAAATCTTGCATATGCTGCTTAACATATCTTATTATAGATGACTGAGCACTCGACGCTTGTTGTGGTCAACGCTACATCTAATGCCATTACAAGGCAAATCCCATAGTATACAGATGTTAGTTGGGGTTAGTAGTAGTCGTTATGCATTTAACACTAGCCCAACTCTTCCCCTTATACTATGGGATCTTACTACATCTCTCACGATGTGGTGACTTAACAGAAAAGAACTGGCCCCTTTAACGCATGTTGGCAAATCTTGCATATGCTGCTTAACATATCTTATTATAGATGACTGAGCACTCGACGCTTGTTGTGGTCAACGCTACATCTAATGCCATTACGTGATATCCGTGTGAACAAGTAAATGACCCGATTCCACGCCTTCATGCCTATTTGGAATATAGGACTAGATCTATATTTTATCGAACAAACGGCACTTGGTGAGTGATGTGGTCAATATCACGCCGAGCGCATTTACGTTCCAGGACTATATATCTGGTACCTACCCAAGGCTGGTTACACCTGCGAGCCGATGTCATTTAAAAAATTCCGGCCTCTGTCAGGACTTGAACCCACGACCTTCTGATTCGCAGGCGAGATACTACCGTTAGACCACAGAGGCTCTCTGATATCCATTGGGCGCTAACTTTAACTGTGCTATGTGAATTATGAGTTGTGTCATCCGGACTTTACTTCAATCACACCCCATTGTGCTGAATTTTCTGAAATAATCCTTTTTTTCTCATTGAACATTTACATCGATTATAGCACCAGTCCTAGGCTAGTAGATGAGCCCTCTCAAAAGTCTAGTGAGCCTCTTTTTGATGGAGATGTCAACCTAGGTTGTCGCAATTTTTCGTTATTTTGAAGCGCCACCACGGCTTTTCCCGCGAGCTGCAAAATAGCCTGACGGTTGAACGCGGTTTCTGGGACCTCCCCACGGGTGATTCTCATCCGCATAGTGACACTTGTGTCACCGGGTTTATATTGCTCTGTGCGATGTCCTAAATGGGTAAAATTTACTTACTTAACTTTCATAGATGAGAATTTCTTTATTCCAGCATCTCTAATTTTTATTAGCAGTGATCTGGTTGGGTTACCTTTTCATTCTGCAAACTTTCTCTTCCGCCTCTACCCCCCTTTCTTATCTGTCTCAGTGTCTCTCTCTCTCTCTCTCTCTCTCTCTCTCTCTCTCTCTCTCTCTCTCTCTCTCTCTGTTTATCGCTGTGTGTGTCATTCTGGGAGAGTGACCCTATATCCGTCTCAGTGATCCTAACAATTCTAATTGTATTACATACATCAAATAAAAGAGGCGTTCGAATGAAAACAGCTACATCAAAACATTTTGAAGTGAGCTCGTCAGTACGATAGAGATTTAAGCAACGGCCCCTTGTTCTCATAACGTACATTGGCAATATATGCAACGAAGCAGAGAGAGCGAGAATTGAATATTTCAGAAATGTTATTTAAAGATGACCCAGTCGTAAAAGCAGAAATAGAATAAAAGTCTGCAGAACCATCTTAATCATGTCAACACTAATCGTGA